TATGTCTAACTACAGCTTACTCGAGTCCAGATAAACATATATGTCTATACTTACAATAATCCGCTAGGATTCCCGCTTGTTAGAAGTTCTTTCTCGTTGTCTCGGCTCTCGTGCCAAAACCTGTTTCATAGAAATAGGTATAAATTTCTTATTCCAAATCACAATTCTTCATACTTAGATTCTTAAATCTAATTTCAAACTCGTTTCTGAACCTTTTTCCCTTCTAGGCCGAATCCTAGTTTAAGACTTAAATTACACATTTGTGTATCTCGGTTTCTGAATCTTGATCTGTTCATTTTCGAACTTTAAAACTGTTATTCATTATCTAGAATCAATTTCTAACTCATTACTTACTAACTTTTAGGAAATTTCGGCAGAGTTTCGTCTTATTTTTCTCGTTTCCCGAGTTTTCAATAACTCGTTATACTTCTGATTTCGGTACCTGGAGTCAAGATTCACATTCCTGAACACAGATTCTAACATAAAATTGAACAAAACACATGTTCTTTCTTAATCTAGGCTCACGGATTTTCAATGAAAATCCACCAAAATTTCGTTCAATCGTTTTAATACTTACACCGTTAGACTCCTATTACGATGTTCTACAAAATCCCGCTTTCAATTTTCACTTTAACGGAAGTTTTCCGAGATGAGTTACTATTCATCCAAATCAAGAAATCATAGAATTCTCATGAAAAATCTGAAATCTTACCTCCAGAAGTTGAGGTTTTTCGCTAGAACGCCTCAGGTTACGTTTCTACCGGACTGAACGGAAGAAATCTCAATGAAAATGCTTGATTTTCCTTCCTCCGTCTCTCTCTAACAACTCTCCTTTTTTTTTCTTTCTTCGTAACTTTCTCACGTCTTTTTTTCCCTCTGCTATGCTTCACGTGAAGTATGTAATAGCCTTTGTAAGTTTATGTAATTTTTTCACACCTCTTAATCTATAAAAAAAGCCCTATAAAGCTTTGAAGCAAGCTGCTAGAAGTAGCGCTCTAGCGCTTTACTAATAGAATATCAAGTAAAGGCTCTTCTCGTCGAGAGTAGGTTCTTTTTTTTCAGGTACAAAAAGAAAATCAACATTTGATACCTCTTCTGACTTTCCGTTTTGCCAGCAGATGTGGTCACCATCATAGGTACTTAAGATATTGTGTCTGGAGAGGTGGATAGATAGGACTACTAGTTGCTCGATCAGGACCCTAGCTTTATTGCGAGCCAAAAACCTTGATGGATTCCCCTTCTAACATTTCTCAAAAAAAAGAATTCTCGCTTTACTTGACATTGGGAAAAAGGAATAGCCTTAGTAACTTCATGCCGTGAGTCACCTTTCAGCTAAACTTATGTAATGACAAGTGGTGTTATTGCATGTGAAGTATATATCCACCTCACGGTAATTATCCTTTTTACTCTTTTTTTTACACGTACTTAGATATAATAATTATATATATATATATGTACTATAACTTGGTTTAACCTGCTTTTATTTCTTGCCATATCAAAGATACGTGCTAACAAACGAGTGGGTTCTATACTCCTCAAATTTTTCTTGTCGAGACCTAACTTTCCATTTCTCAAAACGAGTCTATTTCTGGTACTAATAATTTCACAATCAATACAGGTTCTATACTACTTTTCTAGACTGTCGAGTACCTTGGGTCAAACTTTGCATGTTCAACCCAATTCTCTTGGGTATCACATTAGTCAATTTCTTTTTCTGAAATTTTCATTTTAATCGATCCAGAATTGCCCAAAACCTTACTCTCGCGGTATTGGTTTTTTTAGCAGTTTCCCACTTTGACGGGCTCGGCAAAATTCTGTTTTAGGAACTTTTGTTATTTTCCTTACTTCTAATATTTCTACTCTTTTTCTAACTGGTCATTTGGTCACAAACTAAATATTTTAGTTTTTCATAACTAAAATGTACCCGCAATAATTTCTAATTTTTAACTGATATTTTACTATTTATAACTGATATTTATGAATTTTCTTTGTAAGAATATTCATATTATAACTTTATATATTTCGGGAAATTTAACCCCGTACATAAAGTTTCTACATAACATTTTCTTGATTACATCAAAATTCTACTATTTACTATTCCGTAAAGGATTTCGGTCAAATACCGAACTGTCCGGATTATACCTAAATTTTTTTCGGTCATTACATTCACCCCTCCTTAAGAAATTTTCGTCCTGAAAATTAGAACAAATGGGGGTATTTCTATCTAATTTCCTCTTCTACTTCCCAAGTGACTTCTGCGACACTATTTTTTCCACTGCACTTTAACCATTGGGATAATACGACTTCTGAGTTTCTTCTCCTCTCTTGCTAAAATCTGAACTGGTTGCTCCTCATAGGACAACCAGTTTTAATAGGCTCATACTGTAACACATGCGATGGATCCACATGCGATGGATTCGAGATATACTTTCGGAGCATTACTACATGAAACACATTGTGCACTGAGACCAAATCTGGCGGCTTGCCTGGCGGCAGAGACGAAAAATAAAAAACTAACAGCTCTACACCCTGCCAACTTAACTTATAATCTTAACTTACTCATAACTTGTATCGCTAAAAATAAAAACTTAAAAGTAATAATACGCAACGAAATTCATAAAAACACTTTATTGCTCAAAGAAAATATGCAAATAACTTAGTATTACAGATTTCAAATTTTAAAATTACTAGACTCGTCATTGACCTAGGACTATTATTGTTCAGTCATTTAAAATTTCTTTGTGAGAACTTACCTACTTCATAAAAATAACTATATAAGCATAACACTCAATAAGTAAACCATAACTCTTTCCACATTAAAATATTTCTATTTAACTTTAACTTTAATATGGTATTATCAGAATCCTTTATACCTTGAAAACTCTTATTCCTTCAAAATTTAACCCTTATCATCTTTAATTTAGTTAGTTCATAATAACATAAGACTTTACATCATCACACGTAAAATACTTTTCATAAAACTTCTAAAAACATGAACATAACATAAATCATCGAATAACCATAATAACATAAAGCTGAAACATGTTTTTAAAACATAATAATATTAAAGTGATACAATAAAAGGATACTTACCTCAAACCTGTTAACAAGATAAATAAAGGCCTTTATTTTATTTTCTTTCTCGTTCTTTCTTCTCTCTCTTTCTCACTTTTCTTTCTTCTCTCTCTTTCTTCTTTGATTCTTCTCTCTCTTTTGGTCCTTCATTTCGTTCTTCTCTCTTTGATTATGTTAGAACATGGCATGCCAATATCCTATTTATAGCCATAGCAAGCACACCTTAGGAAGGAGTTCTTAATCATATTATGACACTAAACTCCTTTGCATTTGTGCCACGTGTCTATCTTATATGTATATCATCTGTCATATATATTATTATGCATGCGTGTCATATGCACGTAAAACACGATATCACTTGACACCCATGTGATATACAATATTCTCGCCACTTAGAAATCTTACATGAGATCCACCTAAACATTATGTGTCGAGCTTAGATTAGTCTTCGATCTAGTAATGACACCTCGTGCTTCCTTAAGTAGTGAGTCACGACTTATCACTAATTTTTGATACCTAGCTTCTTCTATCGGCCACCTTGAGCTAATCATATTAAAAACTTCCAATGAGAAGCTCTTAGGTTTTTCAAAATTAAACTTTAACCTAGATGCTCAAAAGGTTTGGGTATTAAACCTAGTGTAAAAAATTGCATGCAAATCCTTATTCTTACATAAATACTATGCTCGATGTACGACCTTGGAGCATTACAAATCAAAACTTGTGGTAGAACATTACAAAGTAGAACTTAGAGTTAAAAGAAAGATCAAAGATAGTTTTTAATAGGGCATGAAAAAAATCAACTGATGAGACAATTTTTAGCCGTTGATTTCGTGAAGTTCGATTAATCCATGATAAATATTGTGATCTTATTTGTCGTTTTTTAAAATGGAAAATACATTTAAAAGCATGAAAAGATAATTAAAATATCAATCTATACATATAAGTCTTGCTGCAGAAACACGTCCTTGTTAAAGAATATATTCCATCAGTAAACTCTAATTATACTATAAAAAAAATAGTGTGTATAAGATTGCACCAACAGAATAGGTACACTAAATGTCAAGCACATACATAACTTTTTAAAAGACTCTCCGTAGTTAATAAAAAAATCTGATCAACTAATGTCAAGAAATGTATGCGAAAGTCATACAAAAACAGCCAAAAAAAAAAAAAAAACTTGCGGATAAGAAAGACAACTAAACACTAAGGGGTTGTTATTTTAGAGTGTAACTTGGGTGTAATTTTTAAGTTGAATTTGAATTATAACTTGAGTTGAAGTTGTAACTTGAATAAAGTTGAGTGAAGTTGAATAAAATTGAAGTTTAAAAGAACGTGAACTTAAATAAAATTGAAACTTGAAATTATCTTTTTTTGAATTTTTTAGACAAAAGAACATGTCCTAAGAAAAAACAAAACAAATAACTCAAATTTATAATTAAAAAAGAACCACTGTTATCATAGGCCCCGTTTATTTCGCTGATTTGAGTTTAAAATTCGAGTTTTATTACAGTAAAAAGCTCTCATAAATAATTACATCTAACTTTTTACTGATTTGAGTTTAAAATTCGAGTTTTATTACAGTAAAAAGCTCTCACAAATAATTACATCTAACTTTTTATTATAGTAAAAAACTCACATAAAATTATATCTTAACTTAAATTAAAAACTCGAATAAGTGAACTAAACGGTCTATAATGAATCTACCAACCGAGAACCTCAAAACTCCAAGGAGAGATACATGCCACAAAATTATCTGACTTCTAAAATTGCCAAAAAAATGTTGACATAATTGATGATTATTCACACTTGACAGAGTAGAGAAGGCACGTGCCTCATGATAGACCCATCATGTGACCTCTCTCTCTCTCTCTCTCAGCTTTCAAGTTTCATCATCTTTCTTCCTTCCTTCCTTCGGGTCCCACCCTCCTTTCTCTCTCCTCTGTCTCTCTCTCTCCCTCTCTAACTCTGTTCCTTTACGCAGATTCACTCCTCACTTCTTCCTCTCACTACTCTCCTTTTCTCCTCTCTCTTTCGTCTTCTTCTTTTTCTTCCGCACAGAAAGCGGCAACAAACAACTACAAACAAACAAACACACTTTGTTCTGTAACTTTCCTACACAAAACTCGACCCAGTAACTTCAATCACTTGTCCTTTCTTTCTCTTGACGTTGAAAGAGCTCCGAGAAAACTAACGCGAAAACGACAACGAAAATGGGTTCTGTCTAGAGAGAGAGAAAGAGAGAGAGACAGAATCACATGGGTTGTTTGCACTCCAAGACCACCCACCTTCACTCCCCTGACGACCCTTCTTCTCAGCTCGACTCTCTCAAACCCGACCCAGGTTTCTCTCTCTACTCTCTCTCAAGATTTTTTGTTTTTTTTTGCGTTGTTGTTGATGGGTGTTTTTGGTTTGTGAAGCGAATGGAAATGATCAAGGAGATGAAGAGAATCGAGTTCCGGCGTTCAAAGAGTACGGCCTCAACGAGCTGAGAAAGGCGACGAATGGGTTCAGCACAGAGTATATTGTCTCCGAGAGCGGCGAGAAAGCTCCTAATGTCGTTTACAGAGGGAAGCTCCACAACAATCGCTTCGTTGCTGTTAAGCGCTTCTCTAAGCAGTCTTGGCCTGATGCAAAGCAGTTCGTGGTAAGACGAGATTTTTTTTTTTGATGTTTGGTTGCCGAGAAAGTGAAGGAAACAGAAAGAACTGAAGTGGGTTCTTTCGGAAATGCACATTTCCCTTTTTGGGTCTTGTCCTGTTTTGTTTGGTTGGTGAGAAAGTGAAGGAATTTACAGGAAATTAGTACTTGGGGTCCGTTGTTTTGTAAATTTTTCACAAAAAATGAGTAAAACATATATTGGGTCTTTCACTTCATTTAGATTTATATACATGTGATTATTTTCCCTTTCATTTTCTCGGGAAAAACTAGGCCGAGGCAGCAGGAGTTGGGAAGGTGAGGCACAAGAGATTGGTGAATCTGATAGGTTGCTGTGTTGAGGGAGATGAGAGACTCTTGGTGGCTGAGTACATGCCCAATGATACTCTATCCAAGCATCTCTTCCACTGTAATGTGCTCAACTCAGATCTCTTTCTTTTGTTTTCATTTCCCTTTTAGTAAATTCTCTGGGAAAAGCTTCAATCAGTAGGAAAACTTTTTTCCCCTTTTTATCCTTTTGCCTTCACTTTTTCTGTACTAGACATTTAACTTTCTGGCCCTTTCTCTTTTCCCCAAGTACTACTGTTCCAGGCTTTTTAATGTGTATGTATATAGGGCTTATACTCAACTTCAGCTGACTATTAGTTAAATGGTTTAATTGCTTCTTATAATATTATTTTGTGATTTGTGACTAGTCTTTAGATAACCATATTTTACTTTCAGTTGTTATCTTTGTGCAGTGTTTCTTTTGTTTGCTTTCTTTCCATAGTGAGTTCTACAATCTTTTGTTATAGGGGAAAAACAGCCACTGCCGTGGGGAATGAGAGTTAGAGTTGCATACTTTATCGGGCAGGCCCTCGATCACTGCAATGCCGAGAATCGGAAGATTTATCATGATCTGAATGCATACAGAGTTCTCTTTGATGAAGTAAGTTATGAAGTTGTCCCTATGAACCTTTTTCTTAAAGTGTAGTGGGATGTGCTAGAATCATACTTATTAATGTATAAATATTTGTTACCTTTAAGTACTTGTAGAGCTGTCAACTTCAATAATTAATGTTATCCTCTTTGTTTCACTGGCATTTTTGAATTTATTCCTCCTTTTTCCTGGTGCATTAAAAAAGGTCTTTTTTTTTTGTGTTTTATCAAATTTGATTTGGTCCATCAGCCAGGGAGTTATTTGCATAGAGAGTGGTCCATTCAAAACGGTAGAGTGTGCATGTCATTTGTTGCATTAAAAGTTGATGCTTTTTTCAGCCCCATTAATCATGCTTTCTGTGGTCCTACATTTTTTTTTTATAAGTATTTTTGCATCTTTAACAAACTCAATTCAAACGTGTGTTACCTCCATTAGTCAATTCCATCAAGTGAATGAAGTGGATGAACCTCTTTTTGTCTTTTGACCAAACACCTCCGTTTGTTGGTCAATCTTTTCAGATTATGCCACCTGGGTTGTGGATTCTAGTTATTTCATTCCCATTTGATCTGTACCAATTATGTTCTTGTATGCCTCATAAAGAAAAATAAAAAATAAAGAAAAAAGAAAAAACTCAAAGCTCTGTCCATAGTCTTGGTCATAACCACCTTGATCTCATCTTCTGATGGTTTAGCTCTCTCTTGTTGCTATATGTAATTGCTGTATGAAATCTTGAAAATCTCCAACTAACAGTCATCGGCTTTCATACAGAAATTGAAAATAGTATATAATTATAGGACCTAAAACTCCAATGTGGGATTTTTTGTGGTTCAATTGTTACTAATTTTTTTACTTTGGCCAGGATGGTGACCCTCGTTTATCTAGTTTTGGCCTAATGAAAAATAGTCGAGATGGTAAAAGCTACAGTACTAACTTAGCCTATACCCCACCTGAGTTTCTAAGAACAGGTAAGTTGCAGCAGAATTTGTCATTTAAAATTAAATGAATGAAATTGTATGGTTCATGTCGAGTTTCTTAATTAAATTGCATGTCTTTACAAAGGTGGATTGTATGCATTTGATGAAATTGCCAGTTTTCCGCAACCAAGATTGTCTGTTTAACCTTGCAAGAAAGGATATTGATCGTGTACACTTTGCCAGCCGTTATTAAAATTAACAAGCATGGAAACCGAAATCCTTGTTGTTTTGTTCAGAACTCATGCGCTGTGTTTAGTTATTTTAGAAGTGTGCATTATTGCTAAAGTTATCATGCATTTCTTCTTGACCAAGGGATGGTATGAATATTGCTTCCGTCATAATATTATTATGCTACAGGGTCGGTACTTGTTCTATTAGTACCGTGATGGGAAAAAAAAAGTCCATATCCATATTTTGTGAAATTGATCAATCTCAAATCTATGCAGGAAGGGTCATCCCAGAGAGTGTAATATACAGTTATGGAACTGTTCTTTTGGATCTTTTGAGTGGAAAACATATTCCTCCAAGCCATGTAAGTTGCCTTTTGTTTCAATAAAGTGCTTCATTGTTCTCCTTTTTTAATGTTCCCTGGTACAACTTTTTATTGCAATCCATTTGGCTTTCCTATTGCATTTATTGACATGTTTAAAAAAAGAACTTATTGAAAACTTGCTTTATGTGCAGGCGCTGGACTTGATAAGGGGTAAAAATGTACTGTGCTTAATGGATTCCTCATTAGAAGGGCAGTACGAGAACGATGATGCAACTAAAATGGTTGAGCTTGCTTCAAAATGTCTCCAGTCCGAGGCTAGGGAGAGACCAGATACTAAGTTTCTTCTTACAGCGGTGGCACCACTTCAGAAGCAGAAAGAGGTAAAAATTTCATGTTTTCTTCCGACCTTGAAAGTGCAATTTATGTTTTATGCTCTTAAGGCATGCTAGCTTGCCCAGTGGGGACTGTTATTGCTCCATTTTCTGTGATGTTGACTATTATCTTTGGTTCTTCAAGGTGGCTTCTCATGTTTTAATGGGCCTGCCTAAAAACAAGGTGGCGCAGCCAACCATGCTATCGCCCCTTGGCAAGGCCTGTGCAAGGATGGATCTTACCTCCGTTCATGATATTTTGCTCAAAACGGGTTATAAAGATGAAGAGGGAGCAGAAAATGAGGTATCCTAGATTGTCTTTTCTATGCTTCTCCCCTTTGTAGTCTGGCTACAACTCAAAAATAGAGATTAGAATTCAATGGGGTTATATTAACGGTGAAATGCAACGAGAAGAAGATTAGCAGACCGAAGATGTTACCTTGCTTTGTCCTTGTTAGTCCTCTAAGGAAGTCTCTGTTCACTTTAGCAGTGTCTTGTCAATAACGGTTGTCATCATGTTGCACTATGCCGAATGTGTCTTGTCTTCATGTGTTTCATGACAAAATGGAATCGCTGTCTTCTTAATCGATGTTACCCTGGTCTTATTGATTGCGGTTCATGCTTTACTCATATTGTGGCCTACATATGTAGCTTTCATTCCAAGAATGGACACAACAAGTGCAAGACATGCTGAACACCAAAAAGTTTGGGGATATCGCATTCAGGGACAAAGATTTCAAGAGCGCAATCGAGTATTATTCTAAGGTAGATGGGTTTTCATTCTATTGTCATGCATACACCACAATATTCACAATCCTCTTTTCTTGTAGATGAAGAGCATTCTTCTAGTAATATAACTTTGACATGTCCTTTTTTTGTAAAAAACAGTTGGTTGTTATGATGTCTGTTCCTTCGGCTACCGTCTTTGCAAGAAGAGCTTTTTCCTACTTGATGAACAGCCAAGCAGAGCTTGCCTTAAGAGACGCCATGCAGGCTCAAGTGTGCATACCCGAGTGGCCAACCGCATTCTACTTGCAGGCTCTGGCGCTGTCCAAGCTTGGAATGGAGACTGATGCTGAGGACATGCTCAACGACGGAGCAGCCTTCGAAGCGAAGAGGCACAACAGCTGGCGGAGCTAGACTCAAGTACTTGTGTGGTAGAAATTTAACTGAGAAGTCCTCTTTTCCATTGAGGATAGTCAAAAGCGAAATGTAGTGAATTTTAATGAGAAGTCCGCTTTTTTATTGATGATAGTTATTAAAAGAGAAATGTGGTGAATTGACATATTCTAAAGATAATTTTCTAGTATTTAGCTTATGTTATAACAATCCCAAGTATTTAGCTTATACATTAATAACTAATAACTCATTTCATCTTCTTCTCTTCCCTGTAATCAACAACACCAAATTCTAGTCTTGTGGCCAGAAGTATACCATTGTGACAGACCGTCGTGAACTCGCAGAGAGTGATGATGAATCATGATCTCGTGATGCTGCAAGCAACCAACAAAATGTTGGGTTTTTTTTTTTTTTTTTTTTTTTTTTTTTTTTTTGGGGAAAAAATAAAGTTTTTTTTCCCATTTGGTTTTTTTTTTTTTTTTTTTTTTTTTTTTTTTTTTTCGGGAAAATATCAAGATTGTTCTCACAATGTGTATCAAGCATTATCTCAAACATTAATGTACTAAAACATTAAATAAAACAAATTTTAAAATATTAAAAAATTAAAAATTTGGAGAAAACAAATGAATACAAAAGATCAGGAGGTAGAGATGAAGATTGGCAGAATTAATATTTTTTTGGACTTATTTAAAATCTTTTTTTAATTTTTTTAATTAATTTGTATAGTGGTTACTTTGCTTAATGTGAAAAAAAAATTTATACTATATAATGAGGGATAAAACTGAAATTTTGATAAAATAAAATGGCTATTTATGGGGTCTTTTTCCATCTTTTATGGGGGTTTTTCCCTCCATTTTAAGATCACAAAAGATCATTAACCAAAATAGGAATTTAATAACAAAAACTCTCATGTTGTTTAATGGAAATGTAAAATTTACCTTTGTTTTTAACAATGTTAAGATTATCTATTGTTTTTTTATTAATTAAACGAAAATGAATTTGTGTTTCTCTAATCACACAAAGTTCGTATTTGATGACAACTTTAATGAAAATTAAAATTGTGAAAAAAGCATCTACCTTTAAAAACCATACTTTTCATCAAATTAAAGTTGATTATTAAAATACTAGAATAATTGAAGATAAAAATATTTGCTTTTTAATCTCTCTCTGTAAAAGAACCATTATCTTTTCCACAACTCATTGTTTCTTAGGGATTTTTAACTTGTAAAAATACAACTCCTCTACTCAATACTATTCAAACATATTTTTGTAATTATCTCAACGGAGAATAATTTAACTATAATATGTATATACATATAAAATTTGTCTACGTTCCTATTACCTAATATGTAAAAATTAAAACGTTACGTGACATTTATTTAACATAATATTAAAATTGAAAATGTGAAACACTGAAATATTTAATGATCTCATATTATTATTAGACTTTTTTACTATGTTAAATACCCAAATTGAAGTGTAGCACAGCTCGATGTTACGTCTTTCAAATATTCGTGTTATGTTAAATAAGGGTATATTTACTTTACGTGTTTAAATTAATAATTTTAATTTTTATATTTAAATTTTAAATTTTTTATAAAAAAAAAATTATAATAAAATTAAAATTATGAGTTTAAACACAACAAATAAACGAGTCCTAGCGACACTATGTTTCTTTTTTTTTTACGATGGACTGTCCCACCAGTCGAATCGATGCCAAAAAACGGAAAACAACGCAATGTTGATGGTGTTACCCGTATTAGATAATACTCTCGGGTATAAAGATAACAAAGAGATCATTAGGTAAAAGATTACAGAAGAGTAGCCAAATCTTTTTAGTTACAATCGGAGGTATTTTATCATTTTTCTCTCTTTTCAATTTCAATCTTTCGATTTATTTTCGTTAATTTATCTTCTCGATTTCTTGTTTTTAGATTCTGTGCAACTTACCCTCTGTTTGTTTCCCTAGAAAATTGAGGAAAATGAACTTTAGCTTTGCCAAATTCATTGTTGAATCCTTAGTAAATTATCTGACTTTTGGTTATTCAACGTGCAAAGAAAAAATCGCCTCGTTATAGCCGATTAATGAGTTTGTGGAAGAGCTTTTCTTTTTGCTCGTTTTTCTTTCTTTTTTTGGTTTTTTTTTTTTTTTTTTTTTTTTTTTTTTTTTTTTCTTTTCTCAGAAACTTAGAGAGAAATTGGGGCTGATTCAATTTGGAGGCTTGATTTTATGCCCTGGTATTTATATTACTTAACCAAGAAATGAATTGAGAAAAATGAAATTAGGGTTTTGAGCTGATTATGGTTGACCAAGGTATTGGATTTCTTGTTGTTGACCAAGATATTGGATTTCTCGTTGTTTCTGTTCTATTGGACAATTTTGCATTTTTGTTTTTGGTGGAGGATTAACGGTTATGAATGTTGTTGGAAAAATTTCTCAAAATATAAGAGTATTATTTCATTCTTTACAAAGCTTGGTTCTCCAGAGTTTGAAGATGGTTGTTTTTTTTTTTTTTTTTTTTTTTTTTTTTAAAGAGAATGTTGGAATGGTTCTTGTAATGAGTTTGGATTGCTTATGTATAATGTATCTAGTTTATTATCTTCTTTTCTAGGAGAAAGTGTCCAGTGAACTGGCTTTTTTGCTCTTTCTTCAGACAATGAACTCATTTGGTTTTGATTATAATGAAATTCATTAACAGAAAAGAAAAGGGAAATAATAAAGTCTAACTACAAGTTGGGAAGACATAAAGGAAGCATATAATTTATTGCCATTGATATGGAGACTATGGTTTTATCTGATTAACACCTAAGCGACAATTTGACTCTTGAGTATTGGGTAGGAACAAGTAAGCGAGATTTGCTTTGTTTGTTTATATATTTGAATGACTTGTCTATTTCTCTTTGAATTTTGACCTTTTAAATTTCCCACTGATGGTGGCTTATCATTTTGTGCATCCTGAGTTTGGACGGTCCTGAATTTAATTTATCCGAGTTGATAACGTGGTTAACACTAAAACATTTGGATTGTCATTTTAAAGGTCAGAAAGTTTGAATGTTTTAGACTTAACCAAGTTGTTAGTACGATCACGATACACATATTTTTTCATACTTGTTGAAGCTGAATATGTATTGACTAGGTAATGAAAAGGATGCATGTAATTTTCTGCAAGTGTAGTTGTTTGAGTTCAGAATCTGTAGCTGATAGTTCATACATTTAATGAAACAAGGAAAGAACATGCTTTTTGCTTGGTAGTTTAGTAAAGAATATTGGTTTCAAATGCAGGAAGTAGACAACATTTTATGGATATCAGGGTACCGTGCGAGGACGTTTCTGAGGAGCTGACAAGAGAGTTGCTCATTGCAATCTCTTACTCTGTACCAGAGAAGGCTTTTGATCTGGATCTGCCACCTGAGAAATTGAGCAACGTGGATGGTGTTTCGGTGTTGAATGGTGACATAACTGATCATTACCGGTCTGAACTGATTTCCATTTCTAATGCGCAATCTGTTGATGTGAAAATCTGAGTATCAACCGGAACCATGAGATCCAGCAATACTGTAGTTGGCATTGACTAATATTTAAGCCTTGTAATTGACTGCTGCTTTGTTGTCTCTTTTTAACTTCTGCTATGTGGATTATTACTGGGCGTATGAACGACTTTGTCGATGTTCTCTTTAATGTCAATGCAAGTATGGATGAACTGTCCAATTTTATTTTAGAATTCTGGTTTGCTTGGAGCTTATTGAGCGTTATGTTTATTGTTTACAAAGAAAGAAAGGCGTGTATGTTGATAGGGAAAATTGATCAAAGTAGAAGATAACACTTACTTTCTCAACTCCCTCGTGGTTTAATGTTTAATTAGGAGGAGATTAATTGATTGCTCAACAAAAGGTCACATCATAAGTAAAGAACCTTTTCCTCACTCATCAATTTGTCAGCAGCACTTTTTTTAACTTATTATCTTCATTAATTATTGCTTGTATTAAGAATTATCAATTCATAAAACATTATCAGTTGTACTGTTTTAAGGCACCCTGGTCTTTTATTGGCCGACAGATGTAACCTGACACCGGCCACGACAAAAGAAAAAGGATAATGACATTTTTTATTTAAAAAAAATAGAGGCATCGTTCTCATAACGAGCCAAATTAGAAGTTCTTTTTATACACACACACACACACACATATATAAAGGTCTCTTGTCTTTTTGTTGCATAGAGCATTTTTCTTGGCATATGCCAAACATCTCTTTCTCTCTGACGAGTGTTACTCTAGTCACCTTTGGTGAATAGTGGCAAGTAATATTTATTCTTTTCAAGTCTAGCCAAAGATGCTTAGGATTCGAGACAACATGGCCAGGATGATAAAAGAGGATCGGACCTGCAAACCTGGTAAGCAAGTACTTGTTCACTCCCACCATTGATTGGATTTTGAGCTTCTTGTTTAAAGCTGTAAAAGGCAACAGAACATAAAAATGGAGTTGGAGTTTGGAGTTTGGTTCTTCCCTACATTTTTAGGTGGGCTTGTTGCTGTGTGTTTGATATTAAAGAGAGCTAATGAGTGGTATCATGTAAGCATGCTGGGCCGGAAGCAGTACTATTCTCTGCCTCCCGGTGACATGGGTTGGCCCCTAATCGGGAATATGTTGTCTTTCCTCATTACTTTCAAATTTGGTTACCCTGACTCTTTCATTTCCAACTTTGTCACCAGGTCTCTCTCTCTCTCTCTCTCTCTCTCTCTCTCTCTCTCTCTCTCTCTCTCTCTAATCTAAGTGAACAAAATTTGCAACTATTTGAATTGCAACAATGGAATATGAGGATATGAAGCTTACTTAGTTCTTTTCACAATTCAAATTGCAACTCAAACTTTTTGCAACACTTTTCTTTCATCGAGAATTCAAATTTAATGGGATGTTTGGTTCATGAATTCAGAATCATGATTCATGATTTTGATTTTTGAAATTCAAATTTTGTACGAGAGAAAAACACTATAAAGAATCAAGAACTATGATTCAGAACACGAACTCTTGAAACAAACATCCCATAACTTTTTTATTATGGTGTTTTCTCTCATATAAATTTATTTTTCAACTCAAGTTTCCAATTCGAACCTGCGAAAAGAACAGGTTAGTGGTTTTTGTTATGGTAAATAGACCGGTTGAAAATGAAACCTGTTCCACAAGCAATAAACAAAAAGTTAATAATTCCAACTATGATCAATAGTCAATTGTTGTTGCTGGGAAACCCAGATTTGGCAGGACAGGGATATACAAGGCCTATTTGTTTGGGAGCCCAACCATCATTGTCACAGCACCTGAAACATGCAGACCTGCCTTGATGGATGATACACAGTTTAAGCCAGGCTGGCCTAAGTCAACTTTTGAATTGATGGGGAGGAAATCCTTCTTAGGCCTTTCTGCAGAAGAACACAAGCGTCTCCGCCGCCTCACAGCAGCTCCGATCAGCGGCAAGAAGGCGCTGTCTACTTACCACGAATTCATGAAAGATGTTATAGTAAGTTCCTTGGATGAGTTGGCAGAGGCAGAGAGACCAGTTGAGTTCTTTACTGAGGTAAGGAAGATCACCTTTAAAATAATTGTACACATTTTTTTGGGCGGTGAGAGTGGTCCAATTATTGATTCAATGAAGGAAGAGTATACTAAACTCAATTGTGGTCTAAGAGCCATGGCCATCAATCTTCCCGGATTTGCTTATCATAAGGCACTTAAGGTCAGTTTTTATTTTTTGTTTTTTTTTTCTTTTTGGTCTCCGTTTTGTAATTTTGTTTCTTAGTCACATCAATCCTATATTCAGAGTACTTTTATTTAGTTTCAATTCCACAACAGTTACAAAATAGTATGAAACTATACTCTCATTGAACTTGTTTAATTCGTTATTTAACACATGTTTCTAGCTCTTTTGCCTGTTTTTTGAAAATATGGTATGAACAGTAATGATTTTGCATTAAAAGGATTATTCATTGAAGGGTTCAGTATCAGAAGCCGGATATTGTTTCTTATCCCTTTGTCTTCATAAGATGTTTTCCTTTCTGGGCTTATTGTTGCATAAAATATTGTATGTAAAGTTTTAGTTTGTCCATCAATAAGAGAAGTGCTTCGATTATCATACTCTTCCGACTGGAAAACAAAAACAAGATGCTTTTATATATAAGAGACTGGAATAAGAAACGATATTCTGGCATCACGCAGGCTCGAAAAAAATTGGTCAAGATTCTTCAAGATGTTATAGACAGGAGAAGGGTGAAGAAGGAGAAAATTCTGTTACAAGAAAAGAAAGATATGATGGATTTGCTTTTGGATGTTGAGGACGATGATGGTCGAAAGTTGGACGATGAGGAGATCGCAGATGTAATCCTCATGTACTTAAATGCTGGCCATGAATCTACAGCTCATGCTACTTTGTGGGCAATCCTCTTCTTATATGAACATCCAGAATATCTACAGAAAGCCAAGGTTGGTAAATATTTAGTAAAGGATTCATTGGAATGTACCTTATAGTTTAATGTTTGTTCTAGTCAAAGTTATGCACCTTTCATCCATTATAATGAATGTTTATGATCTCCAAATTAAGAAGATAGTGTTGATCGAATCGCGTTATGTTATCTTTATTTGAAAAGAAAATTCTTATGTAGAATGTCTTGCTTCAGATGTAGTCTTTTAGTTAAATTTAAGTTTAACAGCAGTATAATATTCGCAGCATGTTATTCCCTCCAAATGCTCCCTTTAAAGTTTAATCGTTCTATATGTTTTCATGCCTCTCATCTTAATTTCTATCGAGTTTCAGGCGGAGCAAGAGGAAATTCTGCGAAGAAGATCTCCGACGGAGGAAGGATTGAGCTTTAAAGAAATTAAACAAATGGAATATCTTTCGAAGGTATCGTTACATTTAGCTGTTTTGATTTTGCTATGGCACAGACGTTAATTAAGCCATACTCATAAGCTATAAGTACCACAAACTTCTATACATCGTTGCATGCATGAATTCGTTCCAAATTTTCCAGACGACAACTTATTATGGTTTTACTTCATATATGTGATTTACTAATTTCACTGGCCAATAAATAATTACGTAGTGATATTTATCTAAGTGGTTTACAGTAGCGTTATGAAATCCAAATACTTCCATTAAATCCATGTAGATCTTGGAAATAAACTAATGAAATGACAATTTATCCGCGCTTTTCGCTCTGACAAGTTATCTGTATTTGGCTGTGAAGGTAATTGACGAAACACTAAGGGTTGTTAATGTCTCATTGTTCACTTGTAGAGAGGCAAAAACTGATGTTAACATCTGTGGTAAGTTATTCTTCTGGTTTCTCAGTAGTCTGTCTCTTTTTTTCTTTTTTCCTTTTTTTTTTGGGGTCTAATTTTTAATCAGTAAGAAATTTCCCTTTCAAGGCTACACAATACCAGAAGGATGGAAAGTGTTGATCTGGTTTAGAGGGGTTCATTTAGACTCAGAGCATTATCAGAATCCAAAAGAGTTTAATCCTTCAAGATGGAATGTAAGTAATATATAGACGCATGTAATCATTGAAAACCCGTCCATATATATATATGCTGCTCCTGTATAGTATTTCTTACATTTATGTTTGTAATGAAGCATGGATTTCTAATTGGAGACTACATATGTTGTTATATTTTGTAGGAAATTAAGCCCAGGAAAGGTGCTTTCATTCCCTTTGGAGCAGGAAGTAGGCTGTGTCCTGGAAGTGATTTGACAAAGCTTGAGCTCTCAACTTTTCTTCATTATTTTCTCCTTTATTATGAGTGAGTTCTTTAATCTGCTTTTGATTGCCTTCTCTTGTTAAAGACTTGTCCTTGAAATAGTCATTTTAAGTTGAGTATTACATAGATACATACAGCTCATATTGGCAGACAAGTTTCTTCTCTTCCTTCTAAATAAAATTTTTGAAACCACTTTTTTTTTTTTTTTTTTTTTTTCCTTTAATTCTTTTTAAGACTGAAATCCAGTGCTGGTGCTATGAATTTGTAACTAAAGGGGACACCTGTTTTTGGGAGTATGTGCAGCTGCATATAAATATGTAATAATTTATTCACATTGAAAATTGCTTTGAGAAGTCCAAACGAGGGCATTAGAAATACAACTAATTTGTCGTTTATTATTATTACGAATTTTATTATTTTTATTATTTTTCTGAAGTTGTTGAATTCCTGAATGCAGGCTTGAACGACTTAATCCTGGATGTGCTGTGGGATACCTACCCCATACCAGACCCAAAGACAACTGCCTTGCAAAAGTCAAGAAGTCACTATCCGCCTGAATGTTTATGTAGTTTTTTTTTTTATTTTTTTATTTATCGATAGTCTTTCGTCGATGTTTTGCTTAATAAAGCCACTAAACAGATACATACTAGAAGTGCAAAATAGCCAAATGGAAAAAGAAAATATAAAAAAAAAAAAAATTCTGGATTGAGAACGCCATGTTAATCTTTGTTCTCCATGAAGTTATTTTACAAAATCGTAGTCCTATTAGATTTAACATTAGTACCCACTTTTCTCCAAGTACAGTCAGAATTGATGATAACATTGGTTTGCCATGTTAACATTGATTCTCCATGATATATACTAACTCGTTTTCTCTAAGTACAACCTGAAAAGTAAGCAAATTTAACATTAGCAACATTGTTTTTTTTTTTTATTTATTTTTAAAATTCAATTATAAGATATGTGTTCAATTGATAGTTAGAAAACTAACCAACAAAGTCAGCCTAAGTTGTTGTGGTGGCTGCATAAGCTCAATGTAACCGGCGTCTAAATTTCTCATTGCAAGTTTCTCGTCGCTTGCAATATGTGGAGAATCATATTACCATTGTAATCTTCTCATAATATGATTCCTATGTTCAGAAGTATCTCGTATAACAACCATCTTTTTATCTTCAGTCTAAAAAATTTGGTGGCTCAGTGCCTCTTCTGCCGTTAGCCTACAAAAAACCAGTGAAGAGAATGTTTTTATAATAATGAGATTAGGAATCTCCACATTCAACGAACACTAAATTAAGATTCAAAATTTATAGATTTTCAAATTAACCGAACATATAAGAAAATACATAATATAATGACTGGACATATAAGCAAATCTAAATATGAATACGTCGTTCCTTCAATTAAACAAAAAAAAAAAAAAAAAAAACCGAAAAACAAAAATAGCAACAAAAAATTAGTGTTAAGTGGCAATGTGAACATGAGAGAAATAAACAACGTTAAGGTAAAAACAAGCAGGTTTTTTTTTTTTTTTTTTTTTTTTTTTTTTTTTTTTTTTTTTTTTTGTTAACTAGAATCGTTGGTCCTCAATAGCTTAAAATGAAAACAATTGTTAACATGATCAGGCAGATTATTATTTATTATTATTATTATTATTTTTACCAGAATCGTTGGTCTTCGAACTACCCGTTGCACTCAACTCCTCCCTTCATCAACTAAATAAGAAAAACAAAAAATGTTACTTAAGGTTTAGCTCATAATTGGTCCAAAATCTTACTGCTCATAAACCCCCCACGAAATCAAGGAAAAAAATGAAAAAAAAATAAAAGGGAGATTCTAGGGGGATGTACTTTCCCCCTACCTACCGGTAAAGAACAATCTAGAGGCTCTCATTTAATTGAGAAAATTTGATAAAAGATACCGAAGCAAAATAGTAATTGAGAATGTAGACCATTTTTTTTTATAACAAAAAAACTTTGACTTGTATCTTACGTGTCAAAAAATGGGTTTTATTTAGTCCATGTGTACGGGTCATTTCAAAAAAACTCTCCCTCACAAACCGACCTCACGACCAACTCTCTCGCCGGTTTTTCTCTCCGATCTCTCACCGATTGTTCGCCAAAAACTCTATGCATAAAATGACTCCACGCAAGCGCACTCAATCGAACAAGTAATATAGTAATGAGTAAAGTATCGTCTCCACAGGGACTGAGTTAATGAGGAATTCTATTACAAAAACCAGTGTTTATCAATATGATTGAGAATAGTTTGGATGCCAAATTGATATTAATTAAGTGGAAAGAATGTATAAGACCAAAGACTATAATTTAAATGCAGACAAGAGGTAAAAGTCAACAAGATCTGAGCTTAGAGCTGTGATTTAATGATGGATGAAGGCTAGGATTACTGATTTCCCCTCGGTTGCAACTCTGACCACGATTTGCTATACGATTGCTGTAGCAAAGTTCATCTAGTCAACCTAAAATTCTACATAATCATCTTCCGACAGATTTATGCTTGTAATTCCTTAAACCAAACCAACATATTCCTATGTGTTTTAGTTTACAAACCTGACGTTAACATCAATTTTAATGGGTTGTACAAGATAATAGTATATTCCTATACTATCTCTTACATTATCCAAGCTAGATCTAACTCAACCAACCTTTCCAGAATTAGCTTAAGTTTGTGTTTTCTTACTAAATGATGGCCTATCACTTAATAGAAAGTAAACAATAAATATGCTTGAATAAACCAGATGAAAATTACATTATCAATCGAAATAGCAAATAGATCTTCATTGCAACTTTGGTTCCATCAATAATCCTAGCTAAGGAATTAAGCTCATGTTTAGTTCAACAAAATCAGAATTAATAACAAATAACAGATCCATAAGGTCTCGGAAAGTAAATACAAAGAGAAAGAGAAAACAGCTAAACTAGAATCTGAGGTCAAAAACCCCTGTGTATCCGTGCTGTACTCTTCTTTTCTCCAGCTCCAGCGTCCAAAATCCCCTGTACTCTCTTCTGTCTCCGTTTCCAACTCGTACATGAATTTTGTGCGCCTCCTCTGATTTTTTTCTCCTCCTTTCTCTCGCTGCTGTACTATACTCTCCTTTTCCTTTATATACTAGGGCATGTTGAGGTGCCCTAGTGACAAGTGTATGCATGAGAGTCATGATTGATGGTCCCCCCTCCTGGTGCTCTTACAGCTGTCCCGTCAGTGCTTGGACCACTACCAGCGCTAAAAGACAAACTGCGCCAGCTTGCTAATTTTTGGCTGCTCCTGCTTTTGCTGCGACTTTGCTGCAGCAATGCTATGGCATTGGGGGCATTTCAGCATTTGTGTTTTCCACCGTGCTTTTCTCACCAAAAGCCTACGTCAGCACCTCCTGTGGACATCATGCACTAAGTTCCCAGGGTCAATGTAATGAGTTGAATTGAGGAATAACTTCAAAATATAGCAAGATTTCCCAGAAATAACAACTTTCTGCCACACGGACAAAGATTAATAAATGCTATTCAAAATACTAACACAAAGGCATTTTACCCGGAGAATATAAACAAATATTAAGCCTAAAAGTATGCTAAATAACTATCTTTCTGTGAGTTATCACACCCCCAAACTTAAGTCATTGCTCGACCTCGAGTAATGCCTAACAACACAAAACAAAACAACAAAACACGATATCTAAACACAAAATAACACAAATTTCTACTTTGGCTGCTGAGCAAGTTGATTCTCCATTCTCCAACAATGCCTCTAGAGTCCCAGCTCATTTCCAACCGACTCTTCATCCAATCTCAGATCAATCTGCCATTCTGCCCACTCCACAAATGACATTCCTCTAATAGTGAGTGTGTGGGACCATAGCTAACCATCCTTGTTTCACCTAGGTTGCTTGAATCACGATCCTTGAGCCTAGCTTTTGGTCTAATAAGCTGATTGCTTGACCCCTCTCCTGGTGCTCTAGAGAACCAAACGCCTAAGGCTTTATTCAACCTGTAGTCTACCTCTAAGGGCACTAGGTGGGTGCATACATATAACCCTTTTTGAACTCTTTTTTTTTCTTTTTATTTTTTTATTTTTTTATTTTTTTATATTTCCTCATGTCACTGCTGCCTTTTTATGCGAATGCCAACATTGGTGATGAAGGCACCCGGTTACTCAACAACGTCACAAACCAGATTTACTTTTAGCACACTCATATCCCGAACTGCTGTTTGACGCAAAAGTACACATGTGGCTCATATTACTCCTGGTTACTAGGCAGCTCGGAATAGTGGAGTATAGATTTTTTTTTTTTTTATAGCAAATACACTTCCACCCTTTTCAACATTGATTTACCCTAAACGTTTGGCCCCCCCTGAACTTAACTTCAAGGGCATCACACAATCAGTTCTATGACCCTAAGCTCTCACAATGACTCAAAACTTCCTAGGCTTTCCACTGGACAACTGTGCTATGATCTAACGTGCTAAATTTCACATGATAACATTCATGGAGCTACTTAACCACATATATCACCAAGATTTAATTCATGCCAAATTGTTATATAAGCTGAAACTTTTGACACATTGCATTTTTCATTGAATATCCTTACACCAACACAACTGCAGCAAGACCAAAGCATTTATTCATTTTTTTTATTTTTTTTTATTTTTAGGAAACAACATATGCTACTAAACAACAGACTCAAACAACGGGCATTAAACACAAATCTACACAAGCCTGTCAACCACCCCCAAACTTAAAGGAAGCAGTGTGGGGGAAATGCTGATAAACTACCAAGAACAAACAGATACTAAAAACAACTGAAATAAGACAAAGCAAAAATGGGGCAGAAAATTTATACTCCCTGGGCAGGGTAGGCAGGGCGCCTACCCTGTTACTCCTCTTCTTCTTCCTCTGGGTGGACCGAGGCACTGTCCTCAGAAACAACGGGCTCCAGTACCTCTTCAGGAAATTCAGGGAATGGGAACACCGGCTTGGTGAAGTTTTTCTGAAGAGATTTCTTCAAAGCGCTGTCTCGTTGCTCGACGTAGGCCCAATATTGCTGCTGCTGCTTATGCATCCGCTGCATCAATTCCATCATCTCAGCCTGCTGAATTTCCTGGAGAGTGATTCGATGTTCCATCATGCGGAGTGAGCTGATTATTCCTGCATCCTGACCT